CTAACAATAAAAAAAAAAAAAAAAAAAACAAGCCAGTTACGTTCTCATACGGCATTCAGCAATGTACCAGTCTCGAGTGAACCGTGGAAGGAGCAACATCGATTTCCATACGGCTAACCAGGCGACCAACGCGGCGACAACCGTATTACACTCACGGAACCACTACACGAGCGATAACACGACGAAGGCAATTAACCCCGACGCATGGCCCAGGGCCAAGAGAAAAGTCACAGAGTATGTCCTGTAACCAATAACCATACGTAGAAGATCGAGATCAACAACTCAAGGTCAACAACAACACTCAGTCCAGGTATGGAAACAAAACCCTACACAAAATAGATTCAGCATATTCGCTGACTGCCTATTGCAAGATACCGACTGAGCCAACACAGAACAAACAAACGAAGGCCCTAACACACAACCGGAAATTCCCTAGAAACCTACCAACGTAAAGCCCCCGCCTATCTTACAGGAAACATTAATCACACCAAATTATTAGAAGCACTAAAAACCAGCTATAACAACAGATATTACATAAAATATATCTCGCAGAAACTTAAAATCATATTCCATAACCTAATGGACTACAATGATTTCAAAGAAGTATGCCGAAAACAAAACATTCAGTTCCACACCTTCACAGTCTCCACCGAAAAAATCTTAACAGTAGTTCTAAAAGACCTTATTAAGTTAAATGATAAAATAATAATAAATAACCTGAAAACCCATGGACTCAAAGCACTAAACTGCACAGAATTACCAACAGATACCAAATATCTACAGGGTCACCTTCGTACCAGGTACTATACTAGCCAATGTTAACCACGTCCGATTCATAGAGAACATAAAAGTCTACTGTGAGAAGTATGAGTCCAAGAAACCCACAATCCAATGTTACCGCTGCCAGGCGCACGGACACTCCTCTACTAACTCCAACAAGAATGCAGTATGTGTCAAATGTGCTGACCCACCAAAGAATGTACCAAAACGCCACAAGTTCCGCCAACCTGCATAAACTGCCTAGAAAACCATACAGCCAATTACTTAAAATGTCCAGCACTCCTAGTCTATCTGACCAACACCTACAAAAACGAGCTACACCCAAACACCTATCTTTCCCTCACCACCTTTCCCTACAAGCATATCACACCTTATTGAACACTGCCAAACCTACACCAAAAACTCCCACCCCCATCCTGCTGCCTCCGGACACATGAAACAAACCCCTCTCTTACGTCAACGCCCTATCAAGGCAAACTCCTCCTCAAGAACTTCCAAACACACACAAATCTCAGCAATAGAAAGCACTCTCGATGAAGTCAAACACTCCGACTTAGATACATTCCTCAAAATCATAGAACTCATCCAAAAGCATTGCACCAAATGCATCTCCAACATTGAAAGAGTCAGGGCTACAATCCTCATTGTCAAGGAACTGGAAGCTGGCTACTAAACAATCGCTTAACATCATACTACGGAATACTACTACATCCAAAACAAGAAACATGAACTACAAAGATTCCTACATGAACAACAAATAGATATCGCCATCGTTACTGAAACTTGGCTAAGATCCAATGACAGACTTCCCATAATATAATGTACGAAGGAGAGACCGAACTACTGTCCCAGGTGAGTCCCAGCGCGGAGGAGTCTTAATAGCCATCTACAAAAACATCCCCTCGGAGGACTACATTTAGAGCAATACCTCTCCCATGGAAACCGTAACAATAAAAACCAAAACAACTCCTCCCCTAATCGTCACTGCCGTATATGTACCTCCTGAACACAGGATCACCTCCGAAGAAATAATCCAGGTTACCCATCATAACAAACATGTTACATATATCACTAGAGGCGACTTCAACGCAAAACACCAGGTTTGGAATAACGCAACCAGGAACAACAATGGAGTCGCACTAAAAAAGCATCTCTTAACAGGCCAGTATCCTTCACTCCCCCACCTATACTTACAGATAGCCCAATTACAAACCCTCAAATCTAGACATATTCTTATCCAACATACAACACACAGACTGGAAACTATATAGGAAAATTTGCAACCCCTACCCGTTAAACCATAATATCAGCAGCCAAGAGTATAGACAAACAGATCCACACGCTCCAGAATAACATACACCAGGCTGATGCCTTTCGACCCACCAAAACGATAGACAAAACAGCACACGCTGATCCACTCCTGCAAACTCTAATAACGTACCAACAGACACAGGTTCTCTTCAAGTTCTTTTCATATAATTTATTCGTAAATATTTCACTTGTCATCTCATTCTTAACATTAAACATGCTCACCTTCGAATTCATTTTCTTTGATGTCTCAACTTTGAGCCTCAGACCCTTAAACTTCTTCTTACATTTCTTTTAAGATACAGTTTCCATTCTTATATTTACTTGACCACTTAACACTTTCTCCTTTCGCTGTTCACTCGTCATTTTTACACTTTCATCCTTTTACAATCACAGCATACTTTGTTTCTCTTACTTCTCTCATTTTTATTATCCTACCTTGACCCACTTACACGTTGCTAATTATATTCGCAAACATCTGACTTATTTTCATTATTTCTCTTTGTTTCTCGCATATATCGACTTATAATATATCGACTTATAATAGCCTTTCATTCTTTGCTATCATATGCATTATCTGATCGCTTCAACAAAAACTCATTCATATTCTTCGACACACGATTACCCTCAACGAACACAACTTTGTCAATTTCTTTGGTCATTAAATTGCATCGCATTTAACACATCACGCACATGTTCACTCTCATATTTTAGACCGTGTTTCGACTATTTTTCGCGCTTCTGAACAAACTCAGATGTGGCGCGTCCTTCTTTAAATATGGAGAATATTACGAGATATTCTACAAGTTTTCTTCCCCCACCCCTCCCTTCCTCTCAAAAAAAAATTACCTCAAGTTTTACAAAATCACGATCCACTGATTCCATGAGTAGTAACAAACAAATATCCGAAGTAATGTTCATTTCGGACGAAAAATTTTTACTCACAGAAGGTCGCCAGGTATATGCTAAGTGCCTTAGACTAGGGAATACTTATTTGCCGCGATAGAGATACAGATTTTGGTTACGGATTTTTTATAGAGATTGTCATCCTCACGAATCGACCTCTGAAGGGAAGTCTCCCATTCCTGCGAAATATAACAGGTTTATAATATTCTGTGAGTTTGGGCACTTCAAGATCGCTAATTCCGTGCTGCAGCCGACTGTGCTTTTGCACAGTTGCCCGCAGCCCCTGGAAAGAGTGTACAATGTACAGTAAGTATATTTTTTCTATAATTTTACTTTTCATTTTACTAACTATTTTTATAATAAAAAAATATTTTATTAGTGTTTTTCAAAAATTGCATTTATTTAGTTGATAAAACTTCAAATCGTTCACCATTGAATATGTTGAAAATTAGATTTAGTAAGAAACTTAAAATTATATGATGATATACACAACAATCTTATTTGAAATATAAAAGTTTCAATTACTAATAAAAACAACATAGTATTTGTTTTGTTACAATTGCATAATATTTATTCTTTGTAAAATTTTTATCTTTAAATGAAATAATCTTCAATTTGACAATACTTCACGTGTTGCTATATCAATATAATAAAAAGTAATTTTTATCAATTACAAATTTCATTATTACACGATTATTACACGTTTAAAAATATATATAAAAATAGTATTTGTCTGTATTATATTATAAAACATTTTAACAAATCATTATCTCAGTTTACTTTACATTCCATTATAAGCTGGACCTCCTCCTCCTTCTGGTACAACCCAATTAATGTTCTGGCTCGGATCCTTGATATCACAGGTTTTACAATGAATGCAATTCTGAGCATTAATTTGCAGCTTCTGTCCTTCTCCAGATTCTAATGGTACAAACTCGTATACACCTGAAACATATAATTATAATCAGTTTAATTTTTTTTTATATCTTTCATTTTATAAACATGTTGTGTTGAATTAGTTCTGTTATATTTTTTTAATATAATTTTTTATCTATTAAATACATAACTCATTAACTTCTAAGTTAAATTATTAACATGCAGAAACGTAAACACATATAAACAGTAGCATGATCAGAATGGAAATAATTCTACGTAAAAAAATAAATAAAGAATTTGATATAAAATTTTTTCGTTCAGAAGCTACGTTTTTGAGAAAATTGTGGAATGTGTGTGCGTACGTGCGTGCCTGCGTGTGTGCATGTGTGCGTGCGTGCGTGTCTATGTGCATGTATGCATCTGCATGTGACTATTTCATTACATAATATTAAATATATGAAAATTGTATTATTAATAATTGTTAAATAATTAATTAATTAATAATTTTGGACATTCGTATTTTTTTGTTTAGGTCAATAAAAATTGTTAATTAATTTTTTTTGTTTATATGAAAATTATTGCAATATAAATATGTTTTTATTTTATAAATTAAATATCTAATTTAAATCTTAAAAAATTGACAGAAATATCTTCATATTATATGATCTCTTCTTTTCAAGAAGTCAAACTCATTTAGAAATATTCAGAATAAATCAAAAATATATATTTGCAACAATAATCGCATGATGAATTAATATATTCAAAGCCCATTCTAAGGATTCATTGTGTAACGTCATTATCCCATCAAAATCAACAAACACGAATATTTTAAATTATGTATAATTACATAAAGCACGAAATGTATTGTGTATAATTATACAAAGAACAAAAGATCAATCAAGAACGAAAAAGAAAAATATATATATACATATATAAAATACTTCAAAGCCAACCCTAAAAACTCATCATATAATATATCCCATAACAACTGTCAATCATTGAAGCGTCGATAAACTAATTCATCCATACATGTAGCGTGGCATCGCGTCATGAGACATATATAGACAAATATTTTTTGATACTTTAAGAAGTTGTGTGGAAACCTATACAATTAAAAATAATATCAAAAAAATTTCGAATAAAATATGCAATTAAAACAATTAGAAACTTGTAAAGTATTTGAATCCAATTGAGATTAAAATATAGTGGGATAGTCCAAACTCGGAAATATCGTATCAGTATTTTATGTGATAATTTTGCATTTAACACTATAGTGATACATGATTATTAATCGGTGTTTTATACTCATTCCATTTTGAGATTTCATTTCTCATTTTACACAATACACAAAATCGGAACAGACTGTACTGTTTAATGCATGGCATCTCTTAAACGAGAGAAATTGTTCATTCAATTTGAATGTAATACTTTTCGACTGTAGACGAATGCTCGAGAGATGATCTGTCTCGATTGAAAACCAAACGATTTCTCCCCGATAAGCGAATTGTCCCTTATCGAAATCAAATGATTTCTAAACTGTCCTGGGCCAATGGAAAATTGGAAAATTGGCGAAAACTCTCTCGTTTCTCTTTCCATCAACTTTGGAAATTATTGGGTCTCAAATAGGAGACAAATCATTCAATCAATCAAGTTGGGAGCACGTTCTGTTAAATTATTTTCGAGAACTTTCCCTGAGAGGATGCCATGTGACATGACACGCTATTGGACTTCGTATGGACATAAGGCCATAGTCCTACTGATTTTTCTCTTCAAAAATAGTGTAAATCTCCGTCCATGCCATAAATCAGGGCACTATGCGAAGTTTCTAAGTAGGAATATTTTTTGAGTCGCAGATCGGAGTATAATGAAATTAGATAGTATCATACAATATTTCACATACAGGGTGATTCACTTAAATTGAACATCTAAGGTATTTCCGTTATTATGAAAGGTAGGAAAAAACGAGAAAGTGTTATTTAAATGGTTTCGAAGCATGCATCTGATGGTAACAAATAATCGTTACCAAGGTCATTTTAATAATTTTTTCAAGATCATCGTCATTTTTTGCACATTAACGTTTATTTTTTATAGTGCGATGTTGTTTGAATAAAGACGAGTTCAATGACCTATAATATCATGATCTTGAGATGACCTTGACAATTAAAAAATGAGTTAAAATTTAAAGAATACAGACATATGCAGAAATGTTATAGAAAATGCAGTTCAAGCATTCTCTTATCGTGTACAAAAATGCACCGATGTAGGCGGTCGGCCCTTTGAGCACTTGCAATAAAATAAGGTAAGTTACACCGTTTGTGTATTCTTTAAATTTCAACTCATTTTTTAATTGTCATGATATTATAGGTCATTGAACTTGTCTTTATCCAAACAACAACATCGCACTATAAAAAATAAACGTTAATGTGCAAAAAATGTCGATGACCTTGAAAAAATCATAAAAATGACCTTGGTAGAACGATTATTTGTTACCATCAGTTGCACGCTTCGAAACCATTTAAATAACACTTTCTCGTTTTTTCCTACCTTTCACAATAATGGAAATAACTTAGATATTCAATTTAAGTGAATCACCCTGTATATTTTAAACTACTCTGTAACCATGTGAGTATGAATAAAATTAGGTAGTATAAGTCATGATATGACTACTCAAAGTAATTTATAATGTAGAATTAATCATCGCATATTCAACACTGTTTAACGCTTTGAAATGGAACATGAGATATTAATATTAATAAATAAAATTATTAATTTTAAAAAATTAAAATATATTCTTTAACAAAATTAAGGGATCATAAAATTGGAACTGAAAAATTGTTGATCTTTCTTGAACTCGCTACTTCGTGATAAAAAATCGTAAAACATTGAGCAAGGACTTATTTTAAAGCTTGAAATTTCTACATTCGCGATACAAACCATTTTTTTCTACAATGCATTTAATATAACGGCTAAGAAAGTAAACATACTTTTTCGTTAACAAAAATTTTACAAATTCAAATGTCTCTACGGATATAAAAATTTTGTTGATTTGAAGATTGGAATCTTCCTTTTGATAAACCCTTCTTGAGTTGATGTGCGATTTTTTTTTCACTGAAATTATTGAACTTTAAATGAAAAGTATGCTGCCAGCATTAAAAACGTACATATTGACACTTCTCCAGATTATCTACTGGGGAATGTCTGTTTCAAGTGCATATCTTGAAAATGTATCTCACAGTTTCAATGTTTACAGTATTATAAAAAGTCTTTATTCTTTCTTCAATTCTTCGAATCATTCAACAATCGTTAATGAGTTATAACGTATAGTGCAAACAAAAATTTTATGTCACGAATTGCTTTGATAGAGATACAAACAACCTAAATTGTGATCATTTTGCCGGGCTATAATCAACGGTATGTAACAACATAAGTGTTGGCCAATCTGTTATGTATTGTACGTAGACTCGTTTTCGAGAGAAACAAAGAAGGCGACGAGAGCAGACGAGGACTTCTCAAGAAGACAAAACAGTTTGTCGCATTTTTGCGTAGAATCGCATAATTCTACAGCTACAACACGTTCATGACCATCGCTCGGAAGTTGTGAATGCATAGATGACATGAATTTCGACATGAATTAGAGAACGAGATAGACATTTCTACAAGAGTACCAGCACTAACTCTTAATCATCGTCAGCAAGGTTTGCCCGTAATTAAGTTCTTTAATCTGAAACAAAGTAGAATCATGTATTATTTACAGACGAATGACGATTTTACACGATCGCCGTGAACGAGTTTAATGAATTTGATCCGACTCTCATTACCATAACGAAAATATTTTTTAGTGGCGGTTCTATGATGATGCGGACCGGGATCTCACTATCAGATCGCACAGATTTGATGATTTTGTCATCTCTTACTTTATATTGTCCTCTAATTTGAATTCTCGCGTCACGAGCTGTTTTAAAACAACAATTAAATTGAAAATAGATAAAATTTTAATTCCGTATATATCTGTAAGAGACATAATCGGACCAGGATTCTCGCTAATGTATGGCAATGGTCGGCCACATACAGCTCGACATACTCGCCATTTTCTCGAATCTCACGACATTCAACTATCAACTGTCCCCCACCCTCCATCCTCCAATCTTAATCTGGTGTGTGAGATATGATAACAATAAATCGAGCATTAAGAAACCTTAAAAAATTTCTTACAATATTACGAGCATTGGAAAACGCTCTTCGTTAAATCTAGACCAATTTGATACAAGAAACAATTGGGCGATGCATCTCAACATGTATGATAGAAGTTAAAACATGCGTGATGGTAACGCACGCTTTTAAACACACATTTACACATATATACATGAGATACAAGTCCGATCTTACAATCTCTTCGGTGTACCTTGGGTTATTTTAATGCAACACACTTTTCATTCAAAATTCAATAACTCTGCGAAAAAAATTGTACATTAATTCCCAAACACCCATTTTAAAGAGGAAACTCCAATCTTTAAATTTACGATGGATTCAATCTTGAAAAAAACTTTTCTATATCCGTAAAAACGTTCAAATTTGTAAAATTTTCGAAATGAAAAAGTATGTTTACTTTCCCACATTTGTAAAGTAAAAAAAAAATGATCTGTATCATGATTTTAAACTTTAAAGTGAGCTCTTGCCCGATGCTCTATGATTTTTTATCATGAAATTGCAAGAATTCAAAGATTGACAATTTTTCGGTTACAATTTTATGATTTAATTTTGTTGAGGAATATATATGCTGGAATAAAAAAACATTAATATATCAACATAAAAACAATAACAAATAAGCAATATTTAACTATTGAAATGCTGAAAAAAATATGCACTATAATAGATAAATTTGATAAATTTATCTATTATAAATTTAGATAAAATTGAAAAAGAACCATAGAGAATACTACTCGTACAAAATACTAAAGATTATTTTGCAGTAGAACCTCCGAAGTAATGAATAGACAAAATGATGAATAGAACAATTACTTTTAATTGTAATTTAATTAAATTGCACATATCATTTATTTCAATATTTATTTCAATATTTAAGAATGTTATTTTTTAGAGGGCTTTTGAAATAGCTAATTTTTTTAACACGAATAAATAAATCCTTTGTTTACTCATTTGTGCTGTTTTATTTTATTTATGTTTATAACACCTTTGTCATTCATAAATAAAACATTGATTTATTACTGAATTAAACATAATAAACATATTTTATATGTTCCACATTGTCTTTTTAATAAAATTTTGTATCTCATACTTTAATAAGTTCTTTTTGCAATCATAAAAAACACAAAATATATATATAAAATAAATTCGCTTAAGAAAAGACAAATATACTGTTCAAATAATAGAACAGAATATTCGAATAATGAAGAGGTCATTTTTGGATTCTTGGCTTGAAAAATTCGCTACATTTTATGCAAATCAATTTTTCTAGAGGAACTTCCAAATGTTCCTCATCGTTCAGATTATCGATCACATCGTGATTCATTATTCATCGAGAAATTATCCTTCTTAAACTGAACAAATTTATTTTTGTGCTGTCCTCCAGCAAGATATTACGAACAACTTCATTAATTTTAAAACCACTAAATTAAATTTATATAAAATAATTTATATAAAAGACGTTGGAAAGGCTCAGTTTTATTCACTTGAAATTGCATATTTTCTAAAAAATTAGCCCATTTATACACGATTATGTTCTGATTCAAATCGATTTTATATACAGATTATATATATTTCTCACTTAGTGTAACATCCTGTATATGTAAATATTAATGAATTAATGTTTGGATAATATTCATGAAACGACCACGACACAGTTGTATATAAATCTTAAAGTAAATTTATATTATTCATTTAAACGTGAAACAATTCATGTTCACAGAAATATTTTTATAGTTAATAAAATATATTTATATATATATAAGGAAGTCCACACAATTGTTTTAGTTTATAATTCCATTACGAAGCAATTACAGAAAAATGTCAAAGAAAAAAGAGTGGTTCAAAGAGAGAATAATTATATTCGTAGGAACATATTTCTTTTATAAATACAATAGTACATGTACAATGAAAAATTGCATTATTTTTTTAAATAGAAAATCGAAACTCGTCATGCAAAAAAGTGTGTTAAAAAAAATTATATATTGAGATATTTTTAAAAAATATTTATGGTGATGTAAAATGCTGCGTAAGAATGTAATAAGAAAGACATTCAGATCGCCATCAAACATCACAACAATTGTTTTATAAATCGAATAACAATTCGTCAATATCTCGTCTATTATATATTAATAAATATATATGAAAAAATTGTTCAGAATGATGAGCTTGATAATATATTTCAAAGTCATCGAAATAGAACGTGGCTTCCCTTTTCTATATAATTATTTACTATTTATATCGAAATATGGTAAATAAATATAATCATTCAATAATATTAATATTTATTTTAATAAAATTTAACCGAGCATGATTACTATAATTTTCAGAAATATCTAACATATAACAAAGATTATAATAAAGATTTAAAGGTTTTAATTAAATATGTTTATAAATGTACATACCAGCAGGACAAAATCGACCTTCTGGCCCAGCAAATATCGCTAAATTTCTTTCTACTGGTAAAGTATCATTGACCAAAGTAAGATGTGGAGGTTGATCAGCTTCATGATTTGTACCAGTAAGTGCCACTGAAGATAGTAAATCAAAAGATATTTCATTGTCTGGCTTTGGATATTCTATTGGACTACATTCCGATGCTAATTTCAACTTTTTATAATCTGGACCTAGAAAAATTATTATTAGTGACAATTTCTATTTTCTTAATGAATTTTATTAAAATTTTATTTACCTCCATGAGACAAAGTCCATGGTTCTCTTCCTCCGATCATCATTGAAAATCCAGAATATAGCAGACCCCCATAAATACCAAACCGAGTATGAAAACTTGGTCTTATATTCCTTATAGCCTTTAGTTCTTTATAAATCCAACTATTTTGTATTTTATCAGTATAAGATTTTGGTTCTAAACCTTTTGTTTCCGATGGATTACTTTCTGCATCAATTATAGCCTCAATTACACTTTCTGCCGCTAGCATCCCACTCTTCATAGCATTATGTGTTCCTTTAATTTTAGGAACATTAAGAAATCCTGCTGTACAGCCAATAAGACAACCACCAGGAAATTGAAGTTTAGGAATAGATTGAAAACCTCCTTCTGCTATAGCTCTTGCACCATATGCAATTCTAAAACGAAAACAAAATTTAAAATGAAAATTTTTTTCTTATAAATATAAATTTATTTGTAACAAAGTCTTACCTTTTCCCACCCTCAAGTATTAGTTTAATACTTGGATGTTGTTTAAATCTCTGAAATTCTTTAAATGGATGTAAGTAAGGATTAGAATAATCTAAACCAACAACGAAACCAATAGCAATAAGTGGTGTATCTTCATTAAGATGATATAAAAAGGATCCGCCATAAGTATCTTTTTCCAGTGGCCAACCAATAGTATGTTCAACGATACCAGGTCTATGTTTTTTGGGATTAATTTCCCAAATCTAATAACATTGACATTTATTTTATACTTTTCAAACATCATTAAAATATATTAAAATTTATATTTAATGATAATTACTTCTTTTAATCCTATACCATAAGTCTGTGGTTCACAATCTTTTCTAAGATTTAATTTCTTTGAAATCTGTTTTGTAAGATGACCATGACAACCTTCTGCAAAAATTGTACACTTTGCATGTAATTCCATTCCACGTTCAAAAATATTCTTTGGTGAACCATCTTTAGCAATACCAACATCATTTGTAGCTATTCCTTTAACAGATCCATCTTCATGGTAAAGTACTTCTGCACCAGCATATCCAGGGTATAATTCAACACCTGCAGCTTCAGCTTGTTCACTAAGCCAGACTACAACATGACCTAATCTAAAATAAGTAATTAGAATATAATAAGTAATGTTAACATGATTAACTTCACTGTATTACAGTTACCTAACAATGTAGTTCCCATGATTATATAATGGCATTCCTTTTAAAATAGGTATTGGTATTCTGCCTTTTTTGGTGAGAAATGCAAATTTATCTTCTGTCACAGAAGTGTTTAATGGTGCACCTAATTCCTTCCAATTTGGAAATAATTCATTTAAAGCTATTGGATCTAAACAAGCTCCACTAAGAATATGACCACCAATAGTAGAAGCCTTTTCAACAAGTGTAACTCGCAATTCCTTTCCATGCTTCTTTGCTAATTTACGTGCTTGAATTGCAGCAGATAATCCAGCCGGACCACCTCCCACAATTAAAATATCTGTTTCATCTACATATCTTTCCATATTTATATCTATAAATCATATTTATTTTAATTATACATATAATAATATATAGTATAAAATATTAGTTTTTTATATTTATAAATGTTGTATACCTTTCCATCTTGGATCTGATTCTCTGGGTATAATAGTGTAGTGAGTTGTAATTTTTGGAAATTTTTTTTGTGAATAAGCTCTTTGAAATATCCATTGCAATCTCTGTACTGCCAAGTATAATTAAATATATTAGTCATATTTGATATATTTTTACTTACAATTAATTTTTTTATTCATGAATAAAATATATGTTTATTTTTATACATATGTGTCACAAATTACTTTTATATTTATCATCTACAACACTTTTGAAATATATATTTATTATACATATATATTAAATGCATATATGTTTATACAATATAATATGTAAATATTAAATATTTATAAATACCAATAAAAATGTAACATATTATGGACAACAGCATTAATAAACAATTGAATATAACCTAACAATACATATTTGAGGATTGTCTCCAATATAGATTTTCACTTGTGCTTTAATGTGTATTATTTAATGTGTATAGGACACTATATATAGGAATAAAGTTCATTGTATTATCAGATAATAATGTATGTATTTTGTATATAATCACAATTACAAAATAAAATTAATTTTTATATATTTTGTAAAATTTAACAACGTAATAACATTTTATTTATTTAATAACGTAAAACATATATAATTTAAAGAATTTTAGTTTGGAGAACCTCAACCTTTAAAGAACATCAATTTTTTTAAATTCACATTCTCTTCGATGATATATAAAATTAATATTAATAACAAAGAAAAATTTTTTAAAATTAAAATTTTTTAAAAATAGTAAAAAAGATAGCATATTGCATATTACAACTTACTACTTGATGCATTATATATCACTCGAGACATAATTATAATAGGTATTACAATACAATAATCAACTGCTACAAATGTGTGCTAAAATCAGTCGTTAAAATTGAAATCATGATTCTATCACAAACACAAATGACATATAAAACTTACAAGACGAACATCGGACTTATCATTTATCACCACAGGCCATTGATTAATAAGACAGACTGGACATCCAATGCTTTTTCGTATCCCACGGTTTAAGAGTCTTGATCTTCTTACCATTTTCGTGTCACATCCTGTCATATCGACTTAGGCAAGTATTGAAAGAAAACATTAATAGCGATAGCAACTAAAATCAAAAAATATGGATAGCATTGTCGTTTCCGCACTGAAAATTATTTATTATAATGAATCCAGTGACACTTTATTACGAGCAAACATACATATATATATGTACAATAATCATAAATAAATGCGAATTTAGTAAACATTGTTTAAAAAGCTATATCATTATATAGTGTGATTTTTCTCAAAAGTGCATTGTTTTTTAATGGTTTCTACGATTTTTTTTCTGCAATTGAATTTTTCCTACGTGTTATTCTGAATAAAAAATAAAGTATACTTTCAAAAAGAAATTAATATTTCTTAAAATGCTCCAAATTTTATAGGATGCGATTTTTAAATAAAAATATATTTGTCGTATTCTTGTTTCTATGAAGAAAATGTTCAAGATAAAGTTGCACTATTTTAAAACGCACATTTATTGAAAGTGGAAAGAATTATTTTCAAGATCATTAAAAAAAAAAAGTATAGTATATAGTACTCATATCTTTGTCGATATTCTTATGAGACAAAATTAAAGTTTAATTATCTGCATAATTATTTCGTTCCAATCATTTAATCTAGAGAAGTTTTTTTCAAAATGAAACGTTTATTTAAAAGGTTCAATTTCATGTTAAAACAGTGCGGATATGTATTGTAGTCAAGCGAACACAATGATCTGGCATTAATATAAAATATATAATAGATCTGTAGAATGATTTTGTAAGATAAATTATGTAATTGACATGTATTCGAAAGAGTTGCGGTTCGTTTTGTTTAATATAAAGCTGCAACCTATCTCTTCTAAGAACCGTAGTCCTCTGTATGTGTTTGTGGCACTCCTACCATGTAGATTCTATAGTATACTACGGAATTTCTTTACAATTTTGTCAAAAATTTAATGACATATTTTAACATACTTTATTGAAATTTTTTACAAATTCAAAATGATATATTCTTACTGCTCATTCTCATTTTCTTTTTGATTGCCTTCATCAACGATTTTCATTATGCAGAATGACAAATGAAAAGCGAATTAAAGGGACAGTTTAGGATTTCCTGACAAAAGTATAGTTGCCAATCTAAAAATTTGACATGGTTGCCACATTTTTGTCACTGCTCCACCGATCGGTTCTGTCCATGAAATGACAAAACTAACGAAATTGCTGCACAATCTTTGTTTTAAAGTCTTACGCATTTGCTCGAGCTCGATCAAAATTATCTGATCAGATTTAATTCCGAAATCTTAAATAGTCGTACCTGGGTAATTTGAACAAATTTTTACAATAATTAAAAATATAAATCTCATTATAACTTTGTGAAAAAATTAGTAAAAATAAGTAATAAACAATAATTAAGGTATAATTTTTATTGAAATAAAAATCATTTAAATATCAAAAATAATTTAATCCACGTTTGATTTTTAAGAATATGTTGATTCTATATTTAATACTAGATAAAACAAAAAGAATTTTTTATTTTATTTGTTTCATATTCATTCAATATATTGAATATAAGAAAATCAAATTAAAAAATAACGCAAATAATATCGTTTTTCACATTTTCATTTACTATAAATAAATATCATATCGATTTTTTCTTGCATTGAGTATTCCATTATGAATTACTGACAAATTTCGATACACTGATCAAAATTTCAAGCTAATAGAATAGATTATCATTGATGATGTGATAAAAATAGTAAATATCTTTATTTATATTTATTATAAAGCTCTGAATTGTCACGTTTTGGTCAAAGTCTAGTCCCGATAGAGATAAATTTATACGTAAAACTTAAATTTTCTTGTCATGTTCTTTACATATCTGAACAAATTTTTTTACAGCTACACAATACAATAAAAAAAAAGATATATGAAAAAAACGTCAATGATCTTGAAATTTCTTTTAGATCATTTTCATTATTAAACTTCTCAGGCTACATTTTAACGAACTACAATTAGATTACACAGAAGTTGTTTAGAACAACGGAAATTGTTCTAAGCGGTTCGATAAGCGGTACATCAAAGAATCTGTTCGCAACTTAAAGCGAACATGTTGAAGGCTTTATTTTATAATATGCAAGCAAGAACGATGCAACGAACTGCCCACGAGCACTAAGCGAACAAGCCTGAACTGCTAGCGAGCTACTCGCGAGCTGCTTACTAACAGTAGAGTGAATGCGTGTTAACGGGCAGTTTTGCCCAGTGTGGACACGGCATAATAATAATTATTTAGATTCAAGAACAAGTGGAAATCTGTTGATGAGAAATCTGGCAAATATGATAGTATAGTAGAGTATTGTATTGTCACGTGTCATCTTTGCTTTGAATTTTTTCTAAAGTTTTTCTAACTGATTACAATAGTTCGCAATAGTAATACAAATAAATGTTAATTAAGTAAACTGAAATCCGTTAGAATGTTTTCAAATGGTATATTTCCAGATTCTGAAACACGAAATTAGTATCTAATCTAAAACTATTCCATTTTAAATCAGAAAGGTCTCTATCCGTATTTTATGAATTCATCGATAGATTTTTTCACGTAAAATATTGAAATTTTAAATTTTAAATTATAAAAAAAACAGTGCAAATTATTTTTTCATAGTGGGGGGAAATTTCAAGATCAAAGTTATCCTTTTTTAGATGGAAACATTTTTTGGACTAACAGGACGCTAATAAGTCCTGTATCCTTGTTGACTAATTATAGGATAAATATGAGATTTGGTGTTCTGAAATATTGATCTCGAAAGAAGATACAATTCTTAAAGCTACCGCGATTTATATTCAATTGTAGATGAAGATTCACCTCAATCATTGAAAACCATAAAATCAATAATTGTAAAAAGATTTTTTATTTCTTGAAACATAGACTAAATACAGGATGGTCGATTTAAATGAAGTCACCTAAATATCTTTCCGAATTGTGATGCAAAAAATATTTTTTGCCTATTATGAATGGAAAGACCAATAACCGATAGGAAAATATTTTTTTCAAGAATTTCCACACTAAAACAAAAAATTTTTATAAAGACGGTGTTTATAAGTTATTAAGTTAAATTGGAAGAAAGTTATAAAATATGAAGATTCATATTTTGATGAATAAATTTATTTTAAAACAAGAATATATTTCTTCAATTTTTCGTATGGAAAAACGGCAAATATAATATGAGATATAATCTCTCTAATATAATCTCTGAATACCTGAATATAATAAATAAAAATTATATTATTTGTTATTTAATAATTATATAAATTATTTAATAATTATATAAATTAGCGTTACGCATTTCCTAAGTCCATACTATTTGTGATATAGTATTGAAATATTACAAATAATCTGCTTGTATGTAATAACTTAGTAATTATTTAAAATTAAAGTTTATGCATTATTGAATTTTATATGTGATTTGATATAACATACAAAGACAAAAGGTCAATTTTATATTAATTATAGAATTTTATATATTACAATTTTAAGTAAAATATAATACTAGATACGATAAGTAAAATAGTACTAGAAGTAAGATATAATAATAGATATAATAATTATATTTTTACTTCATGAAGATAAATGAACTTTGAAAAACTCAATCAATTTAATGTCAATTCTTTTTTTTATTATTAATGTTATTAGTACTATTAATTATTTTAAAACATTGTAAGTAATTATATTTGATATCAATCTAAATAAATTTAAGTAGAAAACAAACCATAGTACATCCTATTTTATCAGCGAAAAAAGATGAAATTAATAGGAAAAACACATTAGGACTTATTTCTTTCAGTTTTATTTATGCAGATATTAAACTGAAGGTGTCAATTATTATAAAAGTACATAATATGTAATTACTGAATTTATATAGGAATCTATTTTAAGTTTGTTAAAACATAAAACTTAAAACACATGTATTATTATTCACAAAAATAAAATGATACTTATTTTTATATAAATTGTGAATTCTATTAAATACAAGTGGACAATTCAAAAAAATTTGAATTAAATGAAATTAGAAAGCATATGTAATATATATGCAATACAGAAAAGTTTACAATTAATATAATATTTAGTTCTGTAAATTAAAAACTTTCTAATACAATACTTAATTGATATATATATATATATATATATAAATTAAATATTATATTAGAAAGTTTATATATATATATAATTTTAAATAATAAAATAATAATAATATTTAATATTTAATAATTTTAAATTTTATAATAATGTATACATATTATTATAAAAAATACATTTTGAAAGCGACATAAAAAGAACAATTTTAACACATTCAGTGTTCAGATTATTAAATAAAATTTATTTAAGCTTATACAACATATAATATTATTGTATATATTGATAAAAATGAAAGAAATAATATTGAAGGAAAAAAAAATTATTCAAAAACATTAAGAGAGTATATTTGTCTAGAATATCTGTTGTAAATTACATATATTCTTTCAACATCGTTTGGTATGTTTTTCTCAACTTTGATAAGGAATTCAATAATTCCAACGTTGGTAATGTGAAACCATTAAGAATTATTTTATTTCTGTCCAAGAAATCTTTTTTTTTTTATAGTCACGATTACTGCACGAAGTAGATATAACACTTAAACATTTAACTAGATTAATGACGCTTTGTTCATAGCACAGTTCGATTCAAGACGCGCCCAAAATCTATGTATTAAGCATTTAGTACATTTTAAATTAATATACGATGTAGATATATGAATCTATAGAACAGTTTTCCTAATAATAACATATACATTTTTCTTATTCGACAATTTTAAAACAATTTCGTTTTCATAAAATTATAAATATTTAAAATATGGACGTGCTATACAAATATTTATATAGTGTATTTATATATAGAATATTTCATAAGATATATACATATATTAAGACATCATGTAACTTTTATTTCTTAATAAATAAACCAATCATTATTGTTTTCAATGGATTATTGAAAGTTAATTTTTAATTAATAACACACTT